ATAAAAATATGAACAGACTATGATCTTATTCAATCAAATGTGAGACTCGCACAACAGTACACACAAAAAGGGTGAGTAATTGCCCAATGAAAAAGGAAACCCAACTCAAAGTACAGCAACTTTCCACAGGCAGGCGGTAACCCTGTGACAAGTCACCTACCTCGCCCTCCAGGACACCCATGTCCTGAGGGAGGACACACACCTGCAGAGGGCGAGAGATGGACGGGAAGGGCAGCTCCTTTGCCCTAGTGCCAGAATACCTTGCCTTGACCCTGTGAGGTCTGTGGCGGCAGAAGCAAGTCCTGGGCTTTTAAAAAGGGAAGATACCATCCGAGCGCACTCTGACCAGTGGCAGGGACCAACCTTCAAACAGCTTGAAAGACCGATTGTGTTAGGACCTTAATTAGACATGTGAAGCAGGCGTTTTGAAGTTTGGGTCTCAAGGTAAGCCTGTGGTTTCACTCCATTCTTAACAGCAAGCAGAAGCTGACACCCTTGTACCTAGTGAAAACCATCCATCACAAACAGAATTTCTGACACGGGCACCCAGCCACGATGGTTAGGCATTCAACTGGAAAGCGTTTTGCATGCACAAATCACAGCAAAAAAGTAGCCGCTTATGCAGACCACTTAAGTGTATTAGTAGATTGGCCAAACACAAAAGCTTTGCCCTGCCATTGCTTTTGTGATGGTAGAACACATTTCTGGGTACTGTGTCCTCCTTGCTACAATCCAACTTTTAATCCTTCTGGTAGTTAATGTCTGAAAATTAAAAAAAAAAAAAAAAAAGTCCTCCTAGTATACACCATTAAAGATCTTTTTTTTTTTATCATCTCATTTCTGATGATAAAGACTGGATCTACTGCTGCTAATAAATGTACTGTTAACTGGATAGTCCCTCTTGTGTAGACAATTTGCCTTTCCCCCCAACTTTTTAAGAGTTTTCTCTTTATTTTGGACATACTGCCATTATACTATAATCATTCTCTTGTAGATTTGTTTTATCCAGCCTGCTTGCAATTTGCAATGTTATTCAATATGAGGTTTCATGTATTCATTGATTTTGAAAACTCAGCCATTCATTTCTGTCCTATGGACCTCTAGATATGCAGTGTGCGTGTGTGTGTGTGTGTGTGTGTGTGTGTGTTTCTACAAAATGTTTTTTAAATAAAAAATGAGGGGCCGGGGAGATGGCTCAGTAGAATAAGTGCTTCCCTGGAAAGCACAAGGGCCTGAGTTCAATCCCCGGTTCCAAAAATACATAAATAAATAAATAAAATTCATTATTTAATAAATGTTAGCCAAATCAATGCTACTTTCCACAATGGATAAAAGAAAATGAAGGCTAAAATGCAATTTTGGAGCAAAACTAAGACTAAGATATTATGGGTTTCAGTTATGTTAACTATGCAGAATCATTAGCAGCACAGACAGCATTCTTTCTTTTCGAGGCCATCCTATAAGAGCTACTTGCGTGGTGGCACTGAGTGGTTATGTGCAATGTTCCTGCCCTCATGTGCCACCTTTAAAGAATCAAAAACCAGAGCTATGATTGAAAGATGTGACAAGCCATAAAGGTCCTCCTCTGTTAAATGGCAAATTCTTTCCACAGCCGAGGAGTTTGTCCTCTCAAGCATGGTTCAAAAAGCAGAAAATGTATTACTGTAAAGCATAATCTTGCCGTGTATGCTGAGCAAATGCCCTCGTTAAGGACGCAACTCGATGGAGACACAGTGTTGGACAAGAGGAAGGAACAGAGGAAGACAAGAGGCCGCCAGCCAGAAGCAGCCTATTACTCCTCCATCATTTCTTTCTGTAAAAGCTGAGAACACCAGTTGGGGACTGAACTGAGCAGAAGCTCTGGGACTTGGGGAGTTGAACAAATGGTCCCAGATTAGCAGTGCAGGAACAAGATGGAGTGAGAACTTTTCAGGTTTTTGAATATTAATGCCATGGGGGAAGATCGTGGTAAGACTGCTTATGCCCAAGATAAACTGTTCTTAAACTTCCTGCATACTGTCCTTGACACCTCTTCAACCACTGTTCCATCCGTGTCTTTGGCAATGGCAATTTGGAGAAGGCTAATCTACAGGTTTTCTCTCCTTTCCAGGGCTTCCTCCATTCTCTCCTTCCTGCCCCTTTTGGACTCAGAAGCAGAACTAGCCACCTTCCACTTGTAGGTCCCCTAAAGGCTGCTATGTTGGAAGTATATCCATCAGTATCTACAGTATTTTAGTTTATTGATCATAGTTGCAACCGCAGATATGGGGCTGGTAGCTGACCACCAATATTTACTTGAAGCCCAGAAAACACGCTCTGCATAAAAACAAGAGTCTTGCAAAAGATAGTCAATGACGCAGAGCAACAGCTTGACTCTCAGCTCCATGTACCTGTGCCTGGCAACAAGGTAATTCTCCAAGCTGGTGCAAGTAGGTAGTATTTATTCTTTCAAATATGTATTGACTACTATACAATCAAAAATTGTTGTATGTCTAGGAAAGCAAGTCTACTTTCCTAAGAATGGTATGTGATTGTGGAGAGCTGCGAAGGACCACGCCTACAAGATGGCGCTGGTTTCCGCCTTCCACCCCCCCCCCCCCCCGTGGGTGAGCGCTCTCTGTGCACAACAACTCCTTATATGGCCAGGGCTGCAGTCATGATTCGCTTCCGCATATGCTGGACCCATGGGCGA